CGCGAAGAATGTAAGGATAAAACGCTATTGATTTGTACACCATATCAGTGACAAGTAACGTTACTCGATTAATTATTAAGATTCTAAAACTTGTAATGAGAAACGAATTGCATGTTGAAACGACGGCTCTTTATCAACGTGTATATAGAAATTTCACGAGACCAACTCGTCTAAAACATGAATGTAAATCGTGGTACTTTGTCGCGGTTACATCTCGTTTACGCACCGCGCTATTAACTATCTATCGATTTCGTGTAATCTGTTCCATTTTCGGGGAGAGAAATTTGTGCGACTTCGGCGTTCACGGCGTAATTCGCTCTGTCGTTCTTCGCAATTCGAACGGGCAGGAAGTAAAGAACGTCGCTTACTGCATATCACATCGTATTTTACATCGCGTACGGGAGAGTCCGAAATTTCACGCGATCAATTTTCGCGAGTGAATGCTGTGAGTGTAAGTGCAACAAGAAAATCTGAGAGGAGGAGCAGGCCTTGGCGGCATCGTGCAACGGCAGAGAAATCGTAAGGTAAGTGTCTTACATTTTTGTTATTTGCTACTTGTACAAAATGAATCATCTGTTCTGTGCTTTCATTTTATTTATTCAAATGATTCTAACGAGCATTCGAATAAGTGTTAGAGACAAAACCATACGTATAAAATTTTGTGAGTTTATATTTAAAAGGAACACTTTCAGTATTCTATATAATATTGTTTTAATAAATACCTATTTTTTAAAATATAAAGTATATTTAATACAATAGTTTCGATTTTGCATAATTAGTCTATAATATAATAATCGTATACATTTTGTATTGTTACAGTTTAACATATACATATAGTTATAGCGATGTACAACTTTGCTGTTGCGACTCGTATCAGTGAGTGACATATTACTTTTTATTTTAAAGTGACGTTGCGCATATACCTCTCTCTCTCTCTCTCTCTCTCTCTCTCTCTCTCTCTCTCTCTCTCTCTCTCTCTCTCTCTTTGCGTGTGTACAAATTCTTAAAAATACATAATGCTTGAACACAAACAGCGCGCGCGAAGCGCGCGTTCTGTCATGTCTAGTATTTCTAAATTGTAAACCTTCATTTAAGGTTTGAAACTCTGAACCTAAAAGAGAAGTGAAGCATATTGCGCTTCGAGAAAATCAATCGGTATCGCGGAGAAGGGCCGTAACATCTCTTTTGTAGTAAGGGACAAGCGCGCGCTTCGCGCGCGCCATTTGCTCTCTTTCAAAATTCATAATGCGCAAATATTTTAAATGTATTTATTGTCTATAAAATACTATAGAAAACGATAGAATGTTTCTAGACGCAAAGAGCACATTATATTATAGATTAGGCTTGATATAATTGTTACAACGTTACAGCATTGCCGTAATGTTGCTGCAATGTTCTGTTTTTGGGTTATTGGGAATGAGTTTAGCAACAACTGTGCGTTCCCAAAAGCATCAGATAATATTATAGTGCTGTAAATTTTAAAATTACATTTACATACATGGGTTATTCACGTATTTTGTTGACAAATGTTAGCACAAACTTCTTGTTTGTGTACGTAGACAAAATCCATATATCTGTTGTAAACTAATTTATTCCAGCACACAGAGAGAAAGGTTTCTTTGGATTTAGTATTCCTATTTATTTGGTTGAAATTTGTTTCATTAAAACAATATATGCTTATACGAAACATTATATGTTTTGAATAAAAATTTTGTTGTTTTATTCAAACAACCTGTATTATTTGATAGAAAAAACACTATTATTTAAAGTAATATCTTTCAATGAAATAATTATATTATTTGGCCAGGCGCTTATAAAGTTTGGTGCTGCCACTAGATGGCCGCCGAACTCGTAAGTAAAATCGCGGCAGCTATGATATACATAAGCGACCGCATCAGCAGACGCAGTTTAATCGTTTAATGGTCTATTTTTTATTATGACTGAACATAGTGTACTAATTCAGTGTTTATCTTTCTTCTTTTAATGAAGGGAAAATTCTAATGTAGAGGGAGAAAGATGTATGCATATACATTTGTTTCACATACATATTTTCTATCAAACGATAATGTTGTTTGAATGAAACAATAATATCGTTTAGATTAAAGAGAATATTCCTTTCGTTTCAAACAAATATTTTATTTCTGACAAAGATATATATATATTATTTCAAATTCAAACAATCGTACTTGTTAATTCAAACATTGATTTGTTTCGACCATTTTAAATATCAAATTTGTTTGGATACAACAAAATTTATTAAATCCAAAGAAATCGTTTTCTCTGTGCATGTATCGAGGATCGAAAAGAGTATGTATAATACATCAACAGTTGTCACGCCTCAATTATCTTCAGACTGTCACGGCTCCAGAGATAATCATGAAACTTTATCCACGGTTGATAACTTTAAGCAGTATATGGTAATATACTGTTGCAAGATATGGTAACTGTATTCTAAATCCTCTGAGAGCGGCCACGCTGGCGTTTTACCACAGTATAACTAGTATGCCCACTCGCTCTTTTGTTTCACGTTCGCGCCGATCCGTACTGCGCATCCGACATGTTTTTATTCTGACCAATCACAGGATTTTTGTACGTGTGTTAGTACAAAGTAGGTGTGACATGGAAAAATTCGCAGTATTGATGAATAACGCGTAAATACATTTATACGTTGGAGCAAGTAATTACATTAATTACTTTTATTAGAACATTTTTTTTTATAGGCCATTTCCATTTACAATAAATAATGTACGCCAGTTCGTATGCGCCTTTCCTGGATACGATCCTGAAAAGGGTCCAGGCACTTTTAGCCGTTGATACACTGTTGGCGCGAATAAAAACATGGCGGAAAATTGAGAACGCCCAGATCAAAGGTGCCGACAGAGAGTGGGCATACTGGTTATACTGTGCCTCGTCTACATAGAAGTCGTAAAGTTGTAGTCGTAAGAATAGTCGACAATGATTGGTTAATTCTTATGTGTCTGATTGAATTAACCAATTACAGTCGATTATTCTTACGACTGCGACTCTGCGACTTTCATTGTAGATCCCGCATAAGCCTTAAGTCGGAAGAAATTATCCAATTACAGACATTTATTCCCCTCAGTCTCACGTGTGCTTGGATAAATTCTTACGGCTTAAGGCTTATGCGGGGTTTACAATGAGAGTCGCGAAGTCGTAGTCATAAGAATAAGGCTGGGTCTACATTGGATGTCGTAAGTCGTGTCGGAAGAAATAGACCAATCACAATTCATTATTCTCCTTAGGCTGGGTCTACATAGGATGTAGTAAGTCGTGTCGGAAGAAATTGACCAATCACAGTTCATTATTCTTCGACCGTAAGGAGAATAATGAACTGTGATTGGTCAATTTCTTCCGACACGACTTACTACATCCTATGTAGACCCAGCCTAATAGACTATGATTGGTCAATTCTTATATGTCTGACGGAATTAACCAATCGCAGTCGATTATTCTTACGGCTTATGCGGGGTCTACAATGAGAGTCGCAGAGTCGCAGTCGTAAGAATAATCGACTGTGATTGGTTAATTCCGTCAGACACATAAGAATTGACCAATCATAGTCGACTATTCTTACGACTACGACTTTACGACTTCTATGTAGACAAAGCTTTACTATACCTATTGTAGACCCGGCCTAAGAAAGCCTTCTATTCAAGCCCTAAAGCTAAGGCTGGTATTCATAAGCCAACGGCACACGATACTATTTTTCCTACCAGATTGGTTACGAGAGCTAGTAAAGACGTAGAGTTTTAGATCAGGTGACTTAAAGCTAAACTCTGATTGGCTCTCGTAAGCAATCCAGTAAGAAAAATTGTATCGTGTGCCGTTGGCTATAGTCCATTCTTACATTTAAGATCATCTTAAGAATACTCTTAATGTGTTTTTAACCCATCACAGAGCCGTATTAGCCTTTTAAGACAACACTTAAGATTATTTTGAAATAAGAATCGACTATAAATACCGGCCTAAGCATAGCGCGGGACGCGATCAAAATTGTGCAAATCTGCGTTATCCACTTGGCAAAACGTGGATATTGGCTACGTAGTTGATGTCCACGTTTTCTAATGTTCCCAGAGGGCGTATCGCACTCGAGGATCACATAAAACCCGGCTGTGGCAGCTCTCAGGCTTCCCTCTGTTATTAGCGTTATTAGCCTTTCAGAGGCGCTTATCATCGACAAAAGAAGATTCAGGATACGGACCTAAATCTTTTCGGTGCCAAAGTATCGCATCTCGTATCGATCGACCAATTGGGGCGCCAGACGGCACTCGACGCGCCACCTGACGGCGACACTATGTAAATCGTGGGGTCGACGAATAAACCAGAAAACTCCGTATGTATATCTGATGCAAGCCTCGGACGACAGGTGCAATAGTTGCGCGCCGCCCGAGCGGGTCGCTCGACCCGCGCGTAAAAGCAGCGGAGAGTGTAATATCTCATCGATTGCGCCACGTCACACGGTTCTGCGTAACAGCGAGGAAACTTTAGTATAAGGTATTCCGATTATTAGTTGTAAATTGTCAGCGCGCGCGCGCAAAGTATGGCCTTCTCGCGAACATACGGAGCGCCGTAGTGAAATGTCTCCGATCGTCGTTCGATCGGCAATCGCCCGCCTACGTCGCGCGGCGCGACGCGATGCCATATTTGGAAAGGACGGGGGCCTCGAAGCGAGGTCGCAGTCCGCGATAACGCGTCGCAAACCTTGTATCGAGACGTATTGGTAACTTTTGAAAACACAAAACGTGCGAGAGAAAGTGAGAGAGACAGAGTTGAGAGAGAGACGCGAGGAAAATTGCGCGTGAAACTACCGGGACGGCCGAGGCTCGCGTCGAATTTGGCGCCCGCGCGAAGCGCGCGCGGCCCCGGCCAATTGCGGGTCGCCGCGCACGCGCGGCAGCGCGGTGCGCGCTGCCGCCTGCACGCGGCTACGGCGGGCTTGCGGGTCGGACTTTAGCATCGGACGTTGCGGTAGCGGCAAACGAATCCGATTGGGCGGCGTGGCCCACGAAGGCCACATCCGGCCAGCGGCGCCGCAGTATTGGTCGATCGCGCGCGACAGCATCACGGCCGATGGCGGCGAGCGAAGTTGGTCGGATTTCCTATATATATTATTGATAAATAGCTCGCGTCGTTGTCGAGTGCGACTTTCCGAAGCGGCCTCGAGGAACGAGCCCGACGGTACGACGGGACGTGCGCGCGCGCGCGCGGGTGTGTGTGTGTGTGCGTGCGTGAGTGATCGTGCTCGGGCCCGATCGCGCGTGGTGCAACGACGACGGTTACCTCGGCACCGTGCGCGAGGCTTCGTTTCGCGCGACGGTGCCCCGTGCGTGTCCCCCGAGCGTGCCTCTTTTTTTTCTCGCGCGTGGAAGGAAGGAAGCGGCGCGGCGGCCCGCGCGCCGCGGGACGGCCGACGTGCACGTACGACGTAGCGTGACGACAGTTACGTGAGAAGGGACAGAGAGAAGAGGAGAGGGAGCGCGAGAGAGCGATACGTACGGGAGGAGAGGAAGCGAGAGAGAGGAGAGAACGCGCGCGCGTCGCCTCGCAAACGGAGATCGGCGGTGGACGAGAGCAGCCGAGCGCGAACGACGGGGATTATCGTGCGCGTTTCTGGGTGTGACGGACGTGCTCGGACGTTCTCGCAGTCCGGTATCGGTGTGCGGCTCGTACCGGCGACATCGTGCACGAGGTGGTGTTGTGCGCGAGAGTGGCCCCCGCAGGGCCGGGGCTCGGGCAGCGTTCCCTCGCTAGAGCCTGCGGCGCTATCCCACGAGAGCATGCCGAGCCCGGCCACGAAGAGGTGAGAGCGAGCGAGATAGAGATAGGGAGAGAGCGGGCGAGCGAGCGAGAGAGAGCGAGAGAATGAGCCTGAGCGCGCGCGTGAGAGAGAGAGTGAGAGGGGGAGAGACGGAAAAAGAGCGAGCGAGCGAGAAAGGAAGGAGAGCGCGCGTTGTAACCCGTGAATCCGAGGGAAGCGACTACCTTCGAGGCCTGTTTTTTTTTGCTCCGCCATTGTACGTCGCGAGACGATCGTCTCCGGTGGCGGCACCGCCGAGGGAGCCGCTCGTTCTTATGCGGACGACGCGCGGGCGTGTTCCTGCACGGCGTCTTCGGCCGTTCGAAGCGGTAACGAGGAGGAGGAGGAGGAGGTGGCGGCGGCGGCGGTGGTGGCGGAGGAGGAGGAGGAGGAGGTGGCGGCGGAGGATATCGGTCGTCGTCGCGGCCCCCGGTCATACCGCCTGCGTGTTCGCGTGTTATTGTTCGGGTGTGCTGCTCCACGACGCGGCGACGGCGTAGAACGCGCTCGATACTCTCTCGCCGTCGTCGCGGGAACGAGACGCGGGAGCCGCGCGGCGCGCGGGGCGAGGGGGAGGGCAATAGTGGCCGATTCCGGGTAGAGCAGAGTGGCGCGTCCTTTCGCGAGGAGGCGGCAGCGCGACGGCGCTGAGGGGGAGAGGTCGACGCGAGTTACCGCCGCGCTCCTCGTCATTGTCGCCGTAGCGCCTTCCGTTACGGGAGAGACTCGCTCGCGAGGCGAGTTGGCACGAGCCGGGGGCCCCGTCGGGCCCAGTCGATCCCTCCGACCTCCCGCGGCCGCCGCGTTTGCCGTTGACCGGATGGACGGACGCGGGCGGCAGCGCGAGCTGGCGGCTCCCCCGAGTCCGGAGCGCGTTCGTCGGGAAGAAACGTGCGGCGTCGACGCGGCGCGTTATGCAATAGACGCCGCGCGCGCGGCCGACGACGGTGACGAGGAAGCGACGACCGCGGCGCGGCTCCGTTCTTTTTCATTTATTCGCCGCGAGCGTATCACGTGGTAATGCGTCAGACCGTGTGCCGCTGCTTTAATTTACCTGCGTTACGAGCGCGCGCGTCCGTGTGCGTGCGTGTTGCGTTACGTTGCGTTACGTTGCGTGTGTACGTCGCGCGGCGTGATGATAAAATTAAAATACGGCACGTCGCGCCGGAAGGCGCGTGTTGTCTCCCCGCAAGCGAGAGAGAGAGAGAGAGAAGAGAAATCGCAACCCTCGGGAAAGCCCCCGGGCTCGGATTCCCGTTTTCCCTCGCCCTCCGGCGCCTCCTCCCTTCTCTCCCGCTCTCGCCCTCCTGCCGGCACTCCCGGTCGAAGTCTCCCTTTTCCCTTCTCTCTCCCCCCCGTCTTCCTTCCCTCCCCCTCCGGATCCTTTTTCCTTTCGGGCTTTTGCCCGCTCTCGATTCCTCGTTCCGCGGTCGCCGTCTTTCTCTCTTCCGCTCTCTCGATCTCTTCTTCCTTCTTTTTTTTCTCTCCTTACCCCGCTCGCCGAAGCTCGCGTCCGTCGCTCCCTTTGTCTCGCCTCGTCGCGGTCGGCAATATACGCCCGATTGCCCTGCCGCGGTGAAATATCGGGCCGCTTCCGGCGCGATTGCACGCGCCGCGACGCGTTCGTGCGCGTTCCAGCTTCCTCTCGTCGCGCTGTTTTTCGCGTCGCGCGCGCGCGCGCGCGCGCTAGACACGCGGTAGCGCGCCGATCCCCGTTCGCGCGAGCCGTCGCGCCGAGAGAGAGAGAGAGAGATTACTTACCGCGCGCGTGTACGCGAGCTTTAAAAATCCCGAGTTTAACAACATTCCGCTTTGCGCGGCGGCAGATCGGAGGAGGACGCGTGCGCCGGAGCTGCCGCCCGGCGCTGACAGCGAAACGCCTCGATAAGCGGGAGCGACGAGGAAAAAAAGGGGAGGAATTTGATTGATAGGCGACGACCGCGCGATCGCGGATCAGCTGGCCCGGTTCTCGGGCGCGGGGAATGAGAGGCTCGAAGAAAAAAAGAGAGGGGGGGGAGAGAGAGAGATCTACGCGATCGAAGAGTTTACCCCGTTGCGTCTGTTGAGATTTCGTTGTTTGCGCCGGGCGCGCGGTCGCGTGAATCGCTTCGCGATGGGTGGCCGTCGCCGTGTCGTCCGCTGTCAATTGTTCTCGACCCGCTACCCCCCCCCCCCCCCGGTCGATATTTGCCGATTTCATTTTTATGCCGCGCGGGGGAAGGCGGCCCGCCGCGAGGTCCAAGCGGATCCGGCTACGTTTGTTGCGCAATGTTAACCACGCTGCCGCAAACACTGTAACTATAGCAACGCCACGGCCGTCGTAGACGCACTTTGGAAGGCTGAATGGCAGAGGACAATCCGCAAACGTTTAAGACTGTCTCAGTCATAGACGTAGGGCAAGGCAGAGAGAAACGTAAGTCGTGAAAGGCTGTTGTATACGACTTACGTTTCTCTCTGCCTTGCCCTACGTCTACGACTGAGACAGTCTTAAGCGTTTACGGATTGTTCTCTGCCATCAGCCGAAGCCTTGGGGTCAGTTCTGCGTCTTGCAATAAAGCGAAAATGCCGCGAAAGCGAGCGGCTTTGTCTCTTTCCAACGGGACGGTTGGAAAGCCGGTCGCTTTTAGCATCTTCGCCGTAGCGCAAGGCACAGAATCGACAACCCTTGTCGCGCCGGCGATCGATATCGCGTCGCAGGCCGAACGAGAGGAGATCGAGATCCGCCGCGTTTCTTCGCCGCCAATTCTCGCCGCGTCCGCCCTCGGACGCACGTGGCGCGCTAGAAAGTGGCCGGGCGTTTCGCGCCAACCGCGGGAGCGATTGTTAGACTCGAGTGCCGTTAACGATGCTCGTGAGATTGTAAAAATTCGATAAGATAGAGCTGTCTGAAAATCGAACGTCGCGGCGCGTCGCCGCGCGCGTGACTCATCCCGTCGAACGGCCCGGGAGAATCCGTCCCAGCTGCGGCCAGTGTGCCGCACTCGGCTCTCGGGGGGGAGGGGGGGACATTCGCCGGGATTCGCGAGCATCGTCTCGAGTCTCCGCGGAATTTCCGAGGCGGGCGAGACGGCACGGAAGTTGAGAAACCCGCGAGGCAAAGACCTGTGTCCACGACGCCCAGAACTTTGTCCAAGTTCTAGCCGTTCCATGTAAGCCGCGAGTTGTCTGGCCACACATTTTTCCGAAACTTGGACCAAGCTCTCTAGCATCGTGGACGCAGGCCTGTGGCATCGCGGTCAAGCTCCTCGCAAGAGGAAAGAAAACGGGAGCGGATTCGCGCGCGAAATGAAAGTCGCGCACCTCCCCCCTGCTGCGTCGAGATGCGTCTCGGGCTCGGATCATGAATCCTTTCCTCTAGCGTGAACTCGTGAAACAGTTTATTGTCGAATATTGAATTCCTCGATGAAACGTTTCACTTTCCACGAGTTCACCGCGCGCGCGCGCGAAAGAGAGAGAGAGAGAGAGAGAGAGAGAGAGAGAGAAGATTCATGATCCCAGCGCGAACCGCGGCCGAGTACTCGGCCGTAAACCGCTTTCCTAGAAGTAAGCTAACGATCGTAGCTTTCGCTGCGGAAGCGAAGCGCGAGCGTAGGGCCCGATTCCCCTAGCGTTGTCTCACTTTTTTCTCTCCCCTTTTCCAGGACGCGTTCGCAGAGGAAGAACAGCACGCGGCGCGTGATGCACCAGATCGCTGCTCCTGCCCGGACGCGGCCGGGAATATTTTAACGGCGACCACGTCGTCGAGCGTAGCCGAGCGGTGCGCGAGGGCAGTCGCGGATACTGTGCGGGCACAGAGTCTGACTCCGGGAAGTTGTCGCGCTGAAATTGAGCGACTCGTCGTCGTCGTCGTCGCCTGAGACGTCTTCGTTTACGCCGCGAGTGGAGACGCTGGGACACGCTTAAGAGGACACCGGTCAAGCATGCTACGCCTCCTCGCACGTGAAGACGAAGTGAGTTGAAGCCGCTGTCTCTCGCCGGCCCCGCTTCTCCCGGGACAAAAGTCTACTGCGAGCGCTGCGCCTCGCGGCAGTTATCTGTGTGGCTTAAAAAATGTTACGTAATTTTGCGTAACGAATAGATAACTCCGTTTGAGCGCGCGATTAAAGGGCCCGCGGCGCGCTATTGAGTCTTTTTTCCCGCGCTTGTTCCACCGAAAGATACGCGCAAACCTATTTTAGGCCTGTTCTTTATTAAGCCTTGTGTCCACGATTCAAGAACTGTGTCCAAGTTCTAGTTCCGAGAAATGCGTAGCCAATCACCTTGCAGCTTTTATGGAATAGCTGCAGGTTGATTGGCTACACATTTCTCGAAACTAGAACTTGGACAAAGTTCTTGGATCGTGGACACAAGGCTTTACTGCACTACTGAACTAGTGCAATAAGTTAAAATGAAACAAATAGATTACCTCTCATTCCAACTCATTGCACCAGTGTGCACTAGTTCAGGAGTGCAGCAATAAAGAACAGACCCTTAGTCGACTTTTACCACCTCTACAACACAAAAACTTATATCTCGACGACGATCTTTCAATCCACAGCAGCTAATAAGTCCGAAAAAAACGGCTCACACATTACAGCTGTTATGATTTGCGTGGCGAGCGATTTTTATCTTTTGACTTTATGTTTAAATTATATTTTATACACTGAAGATGGCCTAGAGAAAAGCCGAAACGTTTGTATTTTTATATTTTGAATATATGAGAATTTTATTATTGTGACACTACACACAGAAAAATATTATTGTACAGTCAAGAAAAGTAATTACTCAGTTTAATTTATTCTGTTTAAGTAATAGTTTGCTTCAACGAAGAATATTTTCTTAATAATAGTTTCAAGATATACTTGTTACTAGTCTTAGAAAAGCCTGCCATCTTATACTCAAAGAAAGAATTTATTCTTCTTTGAAGAAAATTATAAAACTTATCGAAGAATTCCGTATGCTTCTTTTAATAAAATCAGAAGAAACAAAGTTGTTTTGCTTCAAATAATTCTATGTATTCTTGTTTGAAGTACTAGACTTACTAAGAACCAGAATATGTTTTGAGTAAATATACATGTAATACTTACGACGACATTATGATAGATTTGTGGATATATAAACTTGGAACAAATAATATTTGCTTGCAGGTAGTATATATTTTTCTGTGTGTAACACCTAGTCAAGGCTCTTAGCCCTTTTGTTCATTGATTGTTATTTTTAAGTCCTCGCTTCCGCGATCTCACCGAAAATTGGCGCGGTAAAACCACAGATATCTATACTATATACTAGATCGCTAACTCCCGTCAAATACATAGCCCCAAAATCTATGTACTGAATTCTTGCGCAACGTTGGTAGACAGCAGTCGCGTTTTAATTGGTTAATGTTATGTACGGTCATGGTCAGGAAGGTTGGCCGACGTTTTGCTATAATCTCTCGCGCGAGAAACTAGCTAGGAAATAAGTAAATAATTCTAGAGCTTGACTCTTGAATCATTTGCAAAAGAAACGTACGCTAAAATTCTGTCCTCACAAAGGAATTGAAAGTCGAACGGATATTTGCATAGCTTTTATTTAATCGACTTGCAATTCCTCTGTAATAGCGTTTTCGATTTGCTGACTCGACCCGACTCC